TTTCCGAGCTAGTAGGTGTAGTAGTTTTCAACTTCTCGCGTTATCGTTTGACAAGTTTAGCAGAACTCGATTTCTACATGATTAGTGTCTTACTACTCTGTTTTTGATTTTTGCTCTGAACTCATTGGTATGAATAGTTTGCTGTCGTAGACTGCGGCTATTAGTCGGTCCCTAGGCCGCGATTTTTCAGGTTCTGTAGGATTTTTGCTCGTACATTTTTTTGAGTGGGGAACGTTATTATAAAGTGGCGTATGTTGCCGATATAGTGAAATACTTTTAATTGTAGTAGTTCTTGATTAAATTTAAGCATCTGGAAAGTGTGCAACTTTTTACAGTCGTAAACCGTGTTTTTTACTTTTCTTTCAACCACTTTAGTGAATTGATGGTGTTTTTGCATTACCGATTTCAACTGAGAGGCGGGAGGACTATTTGCACATATGGATGTAGTGCTGGATGTCATTTTCAAGGCACTACTCAATAAAGAACAACATTAATTGTGCTTAAAAGTGACTAACTTTAGAAAGTTATGATCGGACTCAGAAACTGCTTTATGCATCGGAATAAAAAATTGTTACTGTTTCTTACAGTTTTGTCAGCGGTAATTGTACTGTGATTCATTTTCAAAAATCCTTCAGACAATTAACTGGTCCGGATCCAACAATTAAGGTTGTTTTGGACTTGGAGAAAGATTTGTTGCCGCTTTTGTGCAGATGTTCATTGCATAATAAAAGTGGTAGTAAGAAGAGAGGGTTGGGAAATATGATAGATCTTGCAAACTGCCATTGTTCAGGTTTTTCAACTTTTTACGATTGCCTGTTGGATACAAGGGCTCGTGTCATCAAACAGGAAGTTCGGCCGCTTTTTGATGGCTGTTGCTAGCCAAAATTCCACTATTTTTCCAAGTGTAATTTTGAACTCGCAACACTGATATGCTCTTGTAACGTTTGGCTGCATTTATGATGCAGTTTTGGAATGCGCCCTTCCAGCAATACAGATTTAGCAAGTTTGTTTTGAGCTGTTCATTGGATTTGGGAAAAGACATAGCCTTGTCAGACTGGACGGACCATAAACAATTATGTTCACTGATATTACAGAAAAGCCATTTTTCACCTGTAGCAGGCAGTTCAGAAATGGCTTTACTGTTTTCAGACGGATCACAACGTATTTTTAGATACTCTGCTCTCTAATGTGCACTGAGTTCGTTTAGAATGCTGCTGCAACTTCATCATATCAATATGGCTAAGACATTTTTTAGTCGAAGGGTAATTTACGTCGCCATTTCCTGTAATTATGTTCGCTTCTGGCTGCGATCAGTGACTGCTTCAAACCGTGGATGTTTTTGTTGGTTGCTAGGCTTTGTTTCGACATTTCTTCTGTAGAAGCAACACTTGAGGGGAAAAACTACACGTCTCTTTTCGAACACTATTGGCCCTTTGCAATACATTTCCGTTGCCGGTTTCATCTGTTGCTTTCTTTCAAAGTATTCAATAACACATGAAGATTAGGCATTTTTTAAGCATGATTAGGCACAGTTGTCGATCGTCATCTTTTTGATTATAAAAGCCTTTAGAAAGAAATTACAAATTTTTTAGGTGTTTATGCGTCACTGTTTACTGACATTCAAATCGGTGTTTGGTCCTAAACAGAAACCTTTAATAACTCTTTTGTGTGCTGTTCTTTGAAGTAATGATACTCAAAAGCGCAAGTAATTTTTTTCAAACATAATATAAGTTCGGTGGTATTTAAAAGCTGGAATACTTTGCATTTACGGTAATATTGTATGTTGCTATTTATTTTCTACAGATTCTCAGTTGCTAATTACATCTGTATCGTTTGGAAGAAGGGCTGCCTTAAGATTTGGTTTTCGTTTTGATGATTATCAGGTGTTTGTTGCTTTTGAGTATAAGTTTTTCAAGGTATTTGAGTGTAGTATAGACGTAGGTTGATGACCAGATTGATTTTTAATCTTTTGTTTTGTATAATTTGCCTCTCGCGTAGCTTATCTTTGTTTGCAGTAATTACTGTCTTTTTTGCTGTCGTTCCTAGGATTATTGTTTTAAACATTTTTTGGCATTTAGCAGTTCATTACGATATTAGCTTCAAAAAATAACTGCTCTAATTTTTCCAGGAATCGAAGGAAGTCTTTCAGCGAAGGAGAGAAAGGAAAAAATGTTTTCATGGTTGGGTGGCGATTCGTCAAAGAAAAAGCAGCAACAGGTTAACTATAATTTTCAAATAAGTTTTGCTACGGGTAGGAGGCATTTCACGCGTTTTTCTGCTACTAGGTTTCAAACCTTTGTAGTTCTGAGTGATTTACTTTGGCTACTTGACCATCCTTGCATTTCCTTTGCTCGGTTCATAGTAGTATTGCTCATGATAAAAAGTTGTGTAATAGATAATACATATTATAACTGCATCTTTTCAGGCGATTAAATTGGTTTGCAGTTTTTTATTCTATAGTATTAATGATTTCCCAATAATCCTATACGTTTAAAAAAGTAAGTATGTGTTTTTTTGAGTAACTCGGAATAAAACATTTCCTGTTAGTATATTGACTTTGAGTTTTCAACTGTCGATGAAACACTACGCTTACTTGAAGTTTTTGGTAACGTGCAAGAAACTGGAAGTTCTCTTTTTTATATTACTATTCTTTACTGTCGCAATTTTGTGCGCTTCTTCAAGACTTTTTTTCAGTGTTGAAGCGTTTAATTTAGAAGTGGGAGGTGGCCTACCTATTACCATCTGATATGTATTCATTAATTTTTCTTTGTTCTACTGCTTTAGGAAGCTTACTTTTTGAATGGTAAGGTCACACAGTATTTTTCTGAGGAAAAAATTTTTATGATTTTTTCAATTTGAGGATGGCCACGGCATAAAAACATAGTTTCTTACTATTCTCCTGAGCGTGGTCCAGTTGTGAAGGCGTCGAGTTTCATTTCGTCTGATCAGTTTTTAGCTACTGTGTCGTATTTTAGGAGAAGTTGGTCCACTCTCACTATTTTAATTCTTTTTTTTTTTTTTTTTTTTTTTTTTTTTT